AATTCCTACCACCCTTTCCTACCTAGAAACATTATTTTTGTCACCACAGAACACATTTTTATTTCATATGAGTTTAATCCTATAGCATGTGTTATATATTTGAATGTGCTCCTTTTGTTCAAAGAAATGCTTTATATATTCATTTTGTGTTTCTGAATATATCATAGCTTTTAACTGTTTAATTGTATTTTATAAGGGTTTATAGGCATGTGTGGGTTCTAGTTTTTTTTTTTTTACTTTCATTAATAAGATAATACACTTGTTTATGAGCCTTTTGGTGAATATATGTTTTTATATTTTATTTCTCTTAGGCAGAAACAGCCGAGAGTGGAGTTGTTTGACTCTGAGGTAGATGGTAATTAAACTGCCAGCTGTCCCCTTCATCCATGCTCAAGAGACTTTCACTCCTCTGTGTCTCTGCTCTTGGTGTAGTCTGGACACAAGTCTCGACACATGAGTACTCAGTCTTTTACCCCAGTCTTCCTTATTTGTTTTTGTAGTGATATTTTTTGATGAGCTGAAAGTTTTGAGATTTGGCAAAGTTCAGTTTATCAGTTTTGTGCCGTGTAGTTAGTATTTCTGCTTATTTCAATGTGATTTATGCCTGTCCCAGGGGACAGAAATAATCCTTTGTGTTTCCTTTGAGAAGCTTGAAGGTTCTGTTGTTTTGTTGTGGCTATTTGCCTGTCTGTGTTTTATGTTTTGTGTTTCTGGAGATTAAATTTAGGGCCTTGTACATGCTTAGCAAACGCTCTACCTCTGAACTGCATCCCCAGACCTTGGTTTTCTGCTAGAGGGTTTCCCTGTGAAGTCTGTGCCAGCCTGCAGCTTGTGATTCTCTGCCCTTCGCCTGCCATGGACTGGAATCACAGGGGCGTTGCCACCATGCCCAGCTGGCTCTGTGTTTTATATTTATGTCTTTGATTCATCCTGAATCACTTTTTGTGTTAAGAACAAGATAGTGATTGGAGTTATGTTTTCCCTGTGGATATCTACTCATTTTAAAAACCATTCAATATATAAAAACAGCTATAGTTTGGATTTTGAATGTTCCTTGGAGGCCCATATGTTGATGCCTAGGTCCCCAGTTTGTGCTCTTGGGTAATGGTAGAACCTGTAGGAGGTGGGACTTAGTGGAAAAAAGTTAGGTCTTTGGTTCATGTTCTTGAAGGAAATATTGGAACTCTTGCCCATTGTCTTTTGGCCACCAAGAGATAAAGAAACCTCACTTGCCACATGCTCAGGCCGTCATATAATCTGCTACCACAGGCCCAAAGCAATAGGTCCAGCTGACCATGGACTACCTTCTCCAAAACAGTGAGCCAAAACAAACCTTGCCTCCATATAAGCTGCTTTATCTCAAGGGTTTGTTACAGTAACAGAAAACTGATGGAAATATTTGCCTTTCCTGGATGTATTGCTGCACCTTTGCAGAGCAGTCGACCATATGTGTGGTCTGTTTCTAGACTCTTTATTCTGTTCCACTGATCTCTTTGTATCACAGTATGAGTCCAAGACTACAGTCTCAGTTACTATAATGTACCAGTATAGGAAAAGTGGACATCGATCTTCCATCCATGAACATATTAAGTAATAATTACAGGAGCTAAGGATTTAATTGGATATATTTGGTTGCCATTACAGCCTGTCACAGGCAGTATTATTCCTTTTTTAGACTTTTCGTTTTGTTCTGGAATTGATGTCAAAAAAGTGAGGTTTTCAACACCCCAGGGACATATTTTCCTTCTTTCTATAATTTCCATATTTTCTTTTTATTACAGTTTTACTATTTGTGTATATTCATGTGTGTGCATGCACACACATGATCATGCCACCCATTCCACTGTTCTCTCCTTCTACCATATGAGTCCTGGGGGTTGAACTTAGTTTGTCAGGCTTGGGAATGTACCCGAGATGTACAACTGGGTCATATGATAGCTGGAACTTTTAGGTTTTGGAGGCACCTCCACTCTGATTTCACCAGTGGCTGCCCCAGTTTTCACTAGCTGTGAATAAGCGTTCTTCTTTCTCCACATCATCATCAGCACTTGTTGTTACTCATTTTTGTGTTGACCGTCAATCTGACTGGGGTGAGGCGGAATCTGTTTTTCGTTTACAGATGGCTAATGATGTGAACACTCTGGAGAATAGCTATTGGCCGTTTGTATTCTCTTCTTTTGAGAACTGTCTATTAATCTGGAATCCCATTTGTTGGATTTTTGGTATTTATTTTTTTATGATTCTTTCTGTAGTCTAGGTTGTAATAAGCTGTGTGATTAGAGTTGGTATTTTGCATTTGCAGGCTGTCTTTTTATTTAGGTGATCGTCTTTGCTGTGTAGAAGCTTAACTGCCTGGAGTCCCATCTGCCAGTTCTTGGGCTTATCGTCATTTTTAATGGAATTTATCCATTAACTGACTGCTGTAGAATTGTGTTGAATTCTAGTAGTACAAACCTCAGAAGGGAAGCTACTTATTTCAGTAATAATCAGGAAAATACCAAGTTAGAGGAAGATTGGAGCACATTTTTTTTCCCCAGAGCTGAGGACCGAACCCAGGGCCTTGCGCTTGCTAGGCAAGCGCTCTATCATTGAGCTAAATCCCCAACCCCATGGAGCACATTTTGACTACTGTAGAACTCATAATAAAAGTTAATAGTACCTTTCAGTTTGGAGCAGCCAAAACTAGTTCCTAGTTTTGTAGAATTTTCTTCATGAGATTGGTACATAAACAGGTCTATCAAGTAGATTTTCTCTAATGGTCTGTTAGAAGTTACCTAGCTTTTAATCTGCACTGCTTTTCCTCTAAAAGCTTTGAATGATGGTTCTAGGACATTATTTAATACTTATAACATGCTGAGATTAAATGTTTCCACATGTAAATTTTTAAAAATTTCTTCTTGGTTTTTAAAGTGGGGTCTTACTATGTAGTCCAGTCTAGTCTTGAATTCATCATGGATCTCTAGGTGGCCTCGAATTCACTATGTAGACCAAGCTGACCTCTGACTTGTGACAGTCCGTCTACTTGAGCTTCTCTGAGAACTGAAAGTTGGAGCCATCATGCCTGGCTTTGAAATTTGTCTTATGGATGTTACACACAGTGACTTTGATTATAGTGAGCTTTGTTGTGCACATTGTTAAAGGAATGCATTAGCTGGAGAGCTTTAATGCATCTTGGCTTTGGAATTTGCCTTGACTATCACAAACTTTGGATATGGGAATAATGTTTATGAGCAACATTAGCAAGCCCTGGAAGTAGAAGGTGAAGCAGTAAAGACTTCCTTTTTGTTGTTGTAGTTTTTGTTTGTTTGTTTGTTTGTTTGTTTCTCAAGACAGGGTTTCTCTGTGTAGCCTTGGCTGTCCTGGAACTCACTCTGTAAACCAGGCTGCCCTGGAACTCACAGAAATCCACCTGCCTTTGCCTGCCAAGTGCTAGGATTAAAGGCTTGTACCACCATTGCCAACAAGACTTCCTTTCTGTTTCTCAGTTACTATAGCAGTTAGTTTAGGTATCTAACTGCTAATAACTGATGAATTTGACATAAGGAGAAAAGTTTGCTAAAGTAGAAACTTAGTTCCCCTTGTTCACCCCAGCATGCATGATGTTTACTAGTTCTTTTGTTTACCCAAGTAGCAGAATCCCTTTGGCTCTACTGATAGGATCAGCAGCAGTGTGGGGCAGGTTACCATGACAATGCATCCATTGTTAAAGCCCACAGTTTAAAAATATTAAATTTACATACCTCCTGAATTCAATGGGATTTAAAGCTATCTAGCTTCATGTTACCATGATTTGCTATGAAAATTTGAGTCTAGCAACTTGAATGAAAAGTGAGGGTACTTGTAAGATCTTGTACTCTTTTGGTGTTAGTAAGGAAGTCAGTGGAAGAATCTGCTAGTGCCATTATTTGGTGAGCTGTCCATATCCATGTATCATGGAATATAGGCATGGCTATTTGCCTGTTTTATTGAAATGACTTGAAAAAGAAAACAAGACAGTTGCTGGGTTTGCCCTTGACATGTAACTGTGTTCTGTAGTATGTTTGGTAACTAGTACTCACTGGTTGAGAGACTATACATAGTGCTATCACAAGGCTTCACATTGACTTGGGAGTGAAAAAGGTACCCAGCTGAGCATCTTCATTGTCGCTCGCATATCATTCTAAGTGAAATGTCCTCAATTAATCTCTCTTCATTTGTGTGTTGAGAGACTTGTTAGACATCAGAGAGACAAGAGGACTAAAGAGAAGGATGGAAGAGGTAGGCTAAGTGAGGTTCCCAGCAACCCACAGTGCAGTTAACATTTCCCAGTTATGAGTTGGGCAGAACTTCCTGGTTTTGGCCAAGTAGTATAGATATTAAAAACATTACTAAAAATTTCTTAGAGTTAGAAAGTTCATATGAGAAAGATACTTAATGAATTTATATTAAAATGTTTTATTGAGCTCCTTACAAATGAGGCCTAGAAACTATGAAAACTTTAGGGCTGAGAAGAATATGAAAAGTCTTGTGTTTTTATAGTTGGATGTGTTTTAAGTTACAGCTGTATAATTTCATAATAAAACCATCTCTGTGCATTTTGAAATTTTATCCACGTTGAGATCCATTATATAAGGAAACCTTCATCCATGTGGTTTGTGCTCTTCCTTTCTCAGGTCCTGCTGCTCTGCACGTACCGCTTTCTATGTGTGTTCGTCACCTTCTGTAGGTAAATTGTCCATGAGACCAGTGATTCCATGAGCAAATTATCCAGAAAATGCTGTCTTTGCACATTGTGACAGATCATGTCAGTGGCTCTGCAGCTACTGCAGCAGTCTAATTAACCTGGCAGGTGTCTCCTGTGCTCAGCACTGCTCTTCCATTGCCCTGGCACCTTAGTTTCCATCTTCTCGTACCTTCTGAACTGAAGTTCGGGTCGATGATTGTTTTGTTTTGTTTTGTTTGTTTGTTTTTCAAACCTACCCCACTCAACTCTATTCACTGCCCTTATTTTTGATTGGCAGTATCATCCAGATAAACAAAGTACAGATGTACCAACAGGAACCATGGATGAACGTATACAGAAGTTCATTGAAATTGATCAGGCATGGAAAATTCTAGGGAATGAAGAAACCAAAAAAATGTATGACCTGCAGCGGCATGGTAGGTATTTGTGGTGAGGAGACCGAGCCATGGGCAGTCCTTTGAAGCACAGTGTGCAGGCCACACCTGGGGAACATTTCCCAGCATTTGCATCAAGTTATTGCCACCGTTACTCCTCAGCCCATCATTGTTTTTAATTCTGTCCTATTCTTAGTAGTCATTATTGTGTGTCTGTTGAGAAATTAACAAAACTACTAAGGTATAGTTTCTTATAAGGCTTGAAAGGTGCTTTCTATAAACTACTAAAAGGTTCAGTTTACACCCCAGGTTAATATGCATTATATGCTTAAAACTACTTGTTACTAAACTTAGTTATGTATGCATTACAATTTTAAGTGTGGTATTTGGAGGACTGTAGCTGTGATCATCTACAGGAAGCTGTTACTCAGGTTAGCTCTATGAAACTCGGCTGGCTGTGCCCTTTATTTTAAGGTAGGTTTCATGATTAGCTACTCTTTATGAGACTGCTGTCAATGGTGCCTTAGGAATGCACATTGCTTAAATAATTTCAAAGGTCATTTCTTTTTGCCTTTTTGAAAATAGCTCCTAACAACAGTGACAAGCTGTTGGGAGAAAGAAAGGAAAATGTAGGTCAGGTTTGTCACACATGAACTGGATTACACGAAGTGATAGGCTGTCTTTCAGCACTGGCCTTGGGACAGGAGTCCCTCAGCCTTATATTTGGACTTTCAATAAGCACCATACATGCTAATATGGGGGGGGGCAATAATCGGTTCCAGCCGGTGGGGGAAACGCTGTTGCTTCTCCCCAATAGTGCATCAGGCTCAGCACAGATGTGGTGACAGAATCTCATGGTCACTGGTTGATTATTGAGCCCCTTCCATGCCCACACCGGCACACTGTCCACCTCACCAAACGAATTCTAAGACTTCTGCTACTAAGATTGTGAAAAGTTGATTTGAGAAACAAATCTAAATGTAGCATCACAGGACACAGCCAGTATTTGTAGAAATCCATAGCACTGGAGGAAGCTGTGCCATGGAAAATGCGTGTTTCTTTCTCAGTTTGTCATACCCTTGTGGTATTGGATTTTTCTCATCTCTGTTTTTTGACAGTCTTTCTGTGTAGCCTAGGCTGGTCTCAAACTCACCATGTGTCCAGGCTGGCCTTAGATTTGCAGCAGTTCTCCTGACTGTTTCCTGAGTGCTGGGATTACAGGCATGTGCCACCATGCTAGCTCTAGCATTTGTTGTAATACTGTTTAGTTTTATTACTAATCATATCTGGTCTTTTCTACTTTTTAAAAGACCACTGTTCTGATTGTGTTTTTGTTTTTTACTATTAGGTCCTGGTGAGTTTTCCTTTTTAAGGGATTTGCATTGATTTTCAAATGTGCCTTAAATATCTGGTCTTCTGTTTGGTATTTGTATTTCTTTAATAAAATTATTTCTGATAGAAAGAATGTAGAGCCACCTTCATTTGAGAACAAATTCTATCTATAGGTCCATCCTTATAAACAGGGTTCACATGATAAGCTTCTATGACTGTATTGAAGCTAATACATTTAAGTATGATGTAACATTGAATGTGAGCTGGTCCAGCTTCATAAAGTCACAGAGTGCTGTTGGTGATGAGAGTTTGCTAATTCGTTTCTTCATGTTTTTGTCATTCTTTACTAATGTGGGATACCAGTTTGCTTAAGAAGAATCCACACAAAACTGTATCCTAAGGAGTGTAGGACAGGGACTGGAGAGATGACTCAGGAGTTAAGAGCACTGGCTGCTCTTCCAGAGTACCTGGGTTCAAGTCCCAGTGCCCGTATAGCAGCTCATTATCATTTAAAACTCCAGTCCCAGAGGATCCAATGTCCTCTTCTGGGCTCTGTGGGTACCAGGCATTCATAATTTCATATGTATAAAATAAAACAAAGCGTGTAGGGCATGTGTGTTTAGTGTCTGCATTTTTGCCATTGGAGCCTGTATACTATAAAGATTATGTGAGTGAGACTAGCTAGAGGTCTATTTTCCAAAGGGTAAGAAGAGAGCAAAAATTCTGAAGTTCTGTCTTTCTCTGTAGCATGCAGTAGGGTAAACTCTCAAATGGAAAGAACTAGGAAACGGGTTTAAAATGAGTGCAGAATTGCACAAAGGGAGGTTTAAAAGACATTGTAACTGCAAATGGTTAATAGAGCCTGAAGTTCCTAGAATTACACATTTCCTTTGACCCTTGACTGTGCAGTTTTAAGCTTTTAATAACTTAGCATCTGTTCCCTACAGTATCATAGGGGACTTTTGTAGGTAATTGATGAGATCACAATAAAGTTTAAAACAATTATAATTCAGATAGATAGCCCTGAATTTATATGTCAGTTTGCTTTGCCATTTCTTCAGGTGGGTGATTACTAAATTTAGCTGTTTTAGGGCAGTAGACATACAGCTCTTAATGACATCTGCATACCTCATATGTAGCATAAAGTATGTTCTTCATCAGAGGTTCTGAATGTGAACTTTAAATGGCCACTGGCCTGCTGTTGAGAGCGCTCGTATCTAAATGTGACTTGCTATATTTAAACCTTTTATTCCAGAGCTGTTTTTCAAAACTCTCATGATAAACCTGATTTGAATACTAATATTAATTTCTTTTTATTCATCAATATGTAGCTTTTCAAAAACAAATGAAATGAACTCAAATCGCTAGCAGGATTTAGATTTGATATAAGGAAAACTTTTTGGGGTACTAATTTGATCAGTATAGGATAGTAAGAGGGAGAATTGTTAAAACCAGGTCAGAGCACTCAGTTTTTCTGGGTCACCCCTGGGGACATGGAAATAGATTCAGTAGTGCAGAACTCTTTGCATGTGGTGATGGTTATTGTAGACCTTTCTTTTTGCAGTGTTAAGTATGTTTATTGCCTACCTGCCATTGACTTGCAGCATAAGCTTAAGCTGTCCTTTCTTCATTGGCTGATGTTGAATGCTTTTCCATATCTCCTAGCTCAGAGTGGTTCTCATCAATATTGCCACAGCCATAGATGTATCCAGAAGCTAATTTAAAGGATCCTTGGCATCCATATTTCTTTACTTCTCAAAAGAAACTACTGAAGGGGTTATTTCTAATGAAGAAAATGTGATAGTAGAGCAATAGCCTTAAATAAAACATATTTTCTCCTCCTTTCCATGTCTGTATTCTTGGCATTTTAGGGCAGAGCTGGTCAGGCAAAGGAAAACAAGCCTAAGGAGATGAGTAATATTGGGTTCCCAGAGATCATACATTTTGAAAGTGATGGTAACTAGTGAAATTAACCAATTAGTTCCAGTTGGCATTTTTACCATGCTGTTGGCAAAGATGCCTCTAAAGCTGCTTGCAGCATTCCCCTGGAAGGCATGTAGTTATCAAAGATTAGGCTTTGCATTTCAACCAGAGGCACACTTGGAGAACTCTTTCAAGATGTGTAAAATGTTCATGCGAACAATGCTATAAATTGTTCTTTATAAATCTTGTGGGGAAGTTTTCTCATATATTAAACACATTAAAATAAACAACAGAAGTATCTCATTGGAGCTTTGTAATGTTCTGTTGCACAGATCTCAATGTCTCAGTGGCTCGAGAGAATGGCACACCTGAGTTATTTCTCTGTTATCTGAAGAGGAAGAAACTTACAAATGCAGTTGATCAGATGAAGTAATGCTTAAAAAATAAGTTAATTGTGTTTGGAATCCCTGTTGATACCTTATATTAAAGTCCATCTTGTTCTCTGGTAGTTTGGGTAACTGTTTTGGTAATGGGATGCCTTCATTCTTCCAATGCACGTGTACCTAGATGCCTATACAGCCTGGCTAAGAGAGGTTTGACAGAAGATACAGCTAAGGTGCTACTCTTTGCTTGATACAGCAAGTCATTTCTGATGTTTTATTATACAGATTACTTCATTTCTTTATTAGGATAAATATTTGAAAATGGAAGATAAGGAAATAAATCTCGTACTAATGAAGGATGAATCTTTAAACTCCACAAATATTAATGTATTAGATCATTAAATTTTAAGTATAAAATTGGAATTCTTTCTGAAAAGGGCTTTAAGTTTAAGATGGATTATAAGAAAGGGAGAAATGTGCTCTTAAATATAAATAATGTAAGTTTGGGCTGCTAGTACTAATAACTTGGGGCCAGTAGAAAAGTGTGTAAATTATGTCCTAAAGGTGACCCTTACAAAATACGTAAATTAGTCAGATTAGGAGTTTAGTTTGATTTTAGGAATTTCAAAATTGACTGTAAAAATTTGCTTCAGGTAAAAACCTGTAGATAAGCATCAAGAGGTTTGTTTTTTTGCTGACTGTTTCTGGGAAAAAATAAGTATGTGAAATGATGCAGAAAATCCATTTAGACAGTTGAGACTGGCATCTTAAGAGGGATAGGAGAGCATAGATGAACTTTCCATGAGGGTCCCTACCTTATCTTATTTGTCATTCAGAATATTTTACTTCCATGTGAATGAAAATAACTATTTTTACCTTGTAAAGTATTTTAAGAGTATTTGTTAATAATTTTGAATAAAAATTAAGCAATTACAAATAATTAAAAGCCTGTTGGCAAAAATATAGTTGTAATTCTGGTGTGAGTGAACACCATTGAGAGTCTGATTTAACAGGACTGATGTGGGGGGTTTAGGAATACTTTCTTTCAACTTTAGCCGCTCTCCCAAATTCTTTTTGATTACTCGACTCAGCTGAAGTTGGTGGGTTCAAAACCCAGAGCAGTTAGTTGTCTTTCTCATTGTTTAGTTTCTTCCTCAGACTTGAGCTGGACTTGCTTGGCTTCCCACCAATGGATCAGGAAGGTCAGGTGGCATTTCTTCTTTGTATAGTGTTCCTTTTTCCTTTTTTCCTACGTATTCATTTCATCTTCACAGTTAACTTCCTCACACTATAGCTCACGGCCCGATCACCTCCACAGTACTATGCCTTTCCATTCTGTGCTGCTGGATTCTCCCACAGGCCATGACATTTTAGTTGGTACAGCTTTTTTTGTCTGTATTTAAG